CATCAACCAAAAAGAAATCAGTAACATCCCCATCCAAAAAACAGAAAATTTTAAATCGAAAATCTCCAATAACAATAATTACGTACTCACATTCGAAGAATCACTCAACAAGCCATAAACTTTCATGAAACATGAAATCCACGGAGAAAGTTGTTACATAAAATAAAAAAGAACTGTTGAAATTAACGTCTGATCATCGTTTGCGGTTACTACTTAAAGTTCCATTCATCGGCGTTCAATCGAATCGAAATTCACCGGGAGATAACGAAGAAATAATACGGTTGGCAACGCGGAGCGTTTACCAGACAAGAAAAATGGAAGAGAGGAAGATCAAGAAAGCGCGAAATGTCCCTTTCAGATGCAAATTACAAAAGTTCGTCGCACGTTTCGACAGAAGAAAACGATCTGCATGGTGAATAAAGACGGCGCAACGACTGAAACGTGTAATCTTTTTCCCGTTGCGCGGCCTCATCAAGATCAATTAGACTGGTATAGTCGGACGATCCTCGGCCGTTAACGATATATCAATTACAGCATAGACGTAGGTAATAACTATTAATGACTTCATTCAGGGCACAGTAATTACAGATGCCCGTACGCGACAGGGGAATCTAGGTCGACGATTTCAAAGACCACCGAACTTGCTGGATTCGTGAAAAAGAGATGAGATTCTTCGCTGTATTTACTGCGAAACGATCTCTTATTTTCAAACTAATTATTGCCACGGTAGAAACGCGGTAAAAAGTTTTGTGTCTGAGTGCTTCTTTCGTGGCTGTGGGATTATGAGATTGGGGAGAGTGGAATTTTGGGGGTTGGAAATGTGAAAATGTGGAGATTTGTAAATTTAGGGGTGCTTGGAAGGTTGGATATTTGAGGATTAGTGGTGTGGAAAGTTGGAGATTTTGGGAATATGGGATTTTGGGATTTGAGAATTTGGGGGTTTGAAGAGTTGAGGGTTTGATGATTGTGATACGTGAGAATTTGGGGATTTGAGAATTTGGAGATTTGAGAGTTGGAGCAATATGTGCATTTGGGGGTTTGAGAAATTGGGGATTTAGCGATTTCCACATGTGAGTATTTGGGGATTTGAGAATTGGGGGCTTTGAGGAGTTGAGGATTTGATGACTGTGATGTGTGAGAATTTGGGGATTTGAGAATTTGGAGATTTGAGAGTTGGAGCAATATGTGCATTTGGGGGTTTGAGAAATTGGGGATTTAGCGATTTCCACATGTGAGTATTTGGGAGTTTGAGAAATTGGGGATCTGACGATTTCCACATGTGAGTATTGGAGGATTTGAGAATTTGAGGGTTTGAGGAGTTGAGGATTTGATGACTGCGATATGTGAAAGTATTTGGGAATTTGAGAATTTGGGGGTTTGAGAAATTGGGGATCTGACGACTTCCACGTGTGAGTATTGGGGAATTTGAGAATTTGGGGGTTTGAGAAATTGGAGATTTGAGAAATTGGGGATTTGACGACTTCGATGTGTGAGTATTTATAAATTTGAAATTTGGTGTAATATTGAAATTTTGGGGTGTTGAGAAATTGGGGATTCGACGACTTCCACATGTGAATATTTGCAAATTTAAGAATTTGGAGGTTTGAGAATTTGGAGATTTGAAAATTGGTGTAATATTAGAATTTTGAGGGTTTGAGAACTTGGAGATTTGACAACTTCAATATGTGAGAATTTGGAGATTTTGAGAGTTGGTGTAATATGTGAATTTTAGGGTTTGAGAACTTGAAGATTTGACAACTTCCACATGTAATTATTTGAGGATATGAAAATTTGGAGATTTGAGAGTTGGTGCAATATTGGAATCTGTGGGTTTGAGAACTTGGAGATTTGATGACTTCGCTAAGTTACAATTTGAAAATTTGAGAATTGAAGAATTCAGCAAATTTGAAATTTTTTAGGTTTGATAATTGATATATTACGAGAACATGACGATTTAAGAATTTAATTTAAAACGTTCATAAATTTTTAAATTTGAATCTTGAAACATTAGAACTCTCACAGTTCACAAAATATATTTCCAAACACAGAAACTTGAAAACTCACAATTTCATGAACATCAGTATTAGTACAATTCAACCGAAAACAGTATAAATAAAAGAATAAACCTAATATCACAATAATTCCAAACATCAAGATTTCGTTCCAAAACTTCCAAATAAAGCTAATACTTTATACAACCTACAGAAAGGTCGATCCAGGTAGTCGACCTTTTATGACCATCATTCACATATTCAAACTTGATAAAACATATGTGATGTTTCACGCTCATAAAAGCAATTGTATATGTCGCCCCTTTGAAAAGGCAAATGCCGGGTTTTCCCCAAAGTTCGTAAATCATAGTAAATTTAAAAGTGCATTTCGGGGAGCGGTCAAGGTACTCTGACGTCACAGACTGTCCATAGACCATGGGGAAAACCCACTTTCTTTCAGTTTCCTTGCAATAAAGGAAATAATGGCGGCGCTATTTGCCGGCGACAAATAACCGTACAATACAGCCACCAGACGTTACCTGAGATCGAGATGCTCGAAATCGGAACGGACAGGTGGTACTTTTTCTGCAATACACCGAACGACGACCCCTTAATGACGACCAGTCGTGACTAATCGAGGGTGGAACGGATTATCGCTTCTTTCTTTTATACCGTTCCTGGATCCGACTTATAACTAAAGTTATTGGGAGTTGAATTCTTTTTTTCTTTGATATTAACAAAAATTTCTATTAACAATTATGTCAATTTTAAATATGTGACAATTCAAATTTAAAAGTAGCCAAATATGAAATAGTTTAAAATGAAATTGTATCATTTTTTAAATTAGACAAATGTCTACATGTTATTTTAGTAACATGTGTTATATGTGCAATTTTTGTATTTAATTTTGGTGGAAAGATTCTTTTGGATGTTTCATACAAGAATGTATACATTTCTGCATCATAATTAATTTTACTAATAGTAGTTTCATTAAAAAGAATTTTTTGAATCTTTGTCTTGTAAAACACTACTGTAGAATATCTTAAAAAAAAGCAAAATAAGCTGAGACTGATGAGACTGTTGATGAAGACAGCAACGTCAGTCGCGTCCATATTGTTTAAAGAACAATGTACATTTGAAAGATAATCACTCAGAAGTTGTCAGAATAACAATAATTATTATTAAGTCTTAATATATCCTTCATACGAAGTCATCTTTACAAGAGTAAATTTAATGCAGCAAACATGAATGTTCATAGAAATAATGATGAGCGACCATATTGTTGAAAGAAGTGTGTAAGTTTAAATGCCTTGAATAATAATAATATTTTTATGATACCAGAATACTTGTTTTATTTCACCTGCCATTTTTTGTAAAAATAATTTAAATCAACCCTGACAGAAGTTGCAACATGTAACTTATTTTAATCAGATGAAACTAAAAAATGAAAGACGTGCTTTTAATTAACCAGTTATATTAAAAGACTCCCGATAAAAATCAGTGAGATGAATTTCTGTCCGGACAGAATTTACGACGGGAATATGTAAATGGGTTTGAAAGTATTTCGCGGGAAGTTGTTACATTGATTCGAAACGGGAGAAAGCGAAGGCCACGAGATTGACCCGGGATGTTGTAGCAAAGTCGATTTGGATAGCAGTGCCATGCAGAGACGTATCACGGGGCGAAAGGAGAGGAAAACATCGGCGAAATACAATTTGAAAGACGTAATTCGAAAATCGTTGTACGCCCGACGGCAGCGACCCTCCGTCGGACGTCAAAATGAAATTACGCGACCCTCCGCGCGGGGTCCTTCGGGCCGGGTACAAAGGCTCGTTTGCCGAGGACACAGCACAACAATCTGGCTAAAGGGACCTAAACCACTAATCGTTTCGCGATTAACTTCCATTAAACGCTACTTAATGAACAAAACTTTCGTGTCCTTCTGCGATCAACAGCTCGTGAAGACGTTTATTTAACTAAAAAGCTACTTCAACTCACTTTTTTCTATTGTACAAAAATTATTAACTGAAACTAACTTTCTATCAAGTAGAATTTGTTCTAATTTCAAATTGAAACATTTTTAGAGGATATCACTGACTTCTACGTTTGAGATTGAGTAGGTTATCTTATCGTTTCTTAAAAATGTAAAAACACTTGTTTTATAAGCACCTATCTAATTATCATATGTCGTGTAAATTGTTATCGATAATTATAGTTGTTTGGACAGATTCGGTTCAGGTCGAGTAAGTCGCTGTTAGGACTGGCACTGATTAACTAATTTATGATTATTCATTTTGATAAATGAAAATACCATGCAATGATTAATAGCAGTAATGTCAGGCTGGTTCATCTAAAAATCAATGTCATATTGCACTTAAAATTACTTGTTCTTTAGCATAAATATCTTCAGTGAGCTGAAGAAGCTAGATAGCGCTATTATGTTAAAAAGAAGTCTAGATATTTATAATAAAGTCATCTGAAATATCTTCGATAAATAATTCCAAAAATTTAAACACATTTTTAAGTTAACCATACTATAGCTTTTGTTACGCATAAGTTTTCATGATCGCTGAAGCGCGAACTTTTGCCCTTTTAACTCGTGTCGCTCATAAAAAATCGCTAATAAAATATTACTGAAGCTTCATATCCGTAGCAAGCTTCATCCAAAATTATCAGTCAACCAAAGTATCTACAGTTTATTCTAGGTAGATAAGAATATGAAGAAACGGTAATGAATACCCATCCGATGATGAATCCCCATTCACATCTTTCCCACATCTCACATTCTCAAAAAACTTAATAATTCTTATGATCCAAAATTAACATCTCTTTCAAGGTGTTCCAACCTTCTAAGAACTTAAAGCATACCGAAAAAATTTACTCAAAAAGCGATAGAACATTTGTACATCCTCCTCTCATCACATCCCTATTTCTGATCTCTACTGCTATTTCGGTGCCTATTCCCAATATGTAAAAATTACCTAGCATTCCCAATATGAAAGAACATACCTGTTTTTCGCAGCAGCGGCGCGATCCCTTTGCCTCCTGTTCTTGAACCAATTTCCAACCTGCGTCGGCGTGAGTCCCGTCGCGGCGGCGAGTTCCCTCTTTTTCCCGGGATTCGGATAAGGATCCTGTAGGTACCACTCTCTCAACAACGATCTGGTTCTCTCCTTGAAGCAATGAGTCTTTTGTTCGCCGTCCCAGATGGTCCTGGGCAGCGGGAATTTCTTCCTCACTCTGTACTTGTCTACGGGTCCCAGCGCTCTTCCGCGCAGCTTCTCGGCTTCCTGATAGTGCGCTTCCAGCCACATCGCCTGGAGTTTGCCGTGAGAGTCCTTGGTGAATTTGTGCCTTTCCAATATGGCGTAGAGTTCTCTATAGTGGCCGGAATGAAATGCCACGATGGCCCGTGCCCGGAGCACGGCTTCGCTTTGATTTAGCTCCTGGATGTTAGGATGTGCTACCGGTAGACTCCAGAGGAACCTGGCCAGTCTTTCTATATCGCCGCTCTCCTCGAGGGTCTCGCAAACGGTGGCTACCTGGCTGACGGTGAATGACAAGGTCGGCAACGCGAAAACTGGTGCTGGCACAATCGGGCCGTTCGTGGTGGGCGCCGGTGCACCCGTTCCTGCTGGTGCTACCGCTGACATCTCTATTGGCTCGATCGTCTGATCCTCCCGGTCAGAATCCACTTTCGGTGCTCTCGAATCGCGACGGTTTCTCAGAGCATCGATGTCACCGATCGTCGGACTCAGAAAACTCGCCGACACGATTTGTGTTTGCTCTTCGCTCCTCTCATCGTGCCGAGGTATTCATCATTCAGATCGATCACTGGATCAATAAACGCACTTCACGGCTACCGCACTGAACGTACCTTGCGGACACGGCTGAAACTGTCACTTAAACGGCGGCTGAGATGTCTATGGACAACACAAGAAAGGTTCCTCTCCGAATGTCCTTTCACGAACGATACAACTAGGTCCGGAATCCTGACACGTCGATCGGGACCCTTCGTTTAAATTCACGCACGGATGATCCAGGTGAACCTTGGAACGAAAGTGAGCGTCCGTCGGTTCCTCCCTCGCGTACCGAATCTAACCCCCGAATGTTAGGTGACTCCCGATTGCGTTCTCCAGGCAGATATCCTCGGGGTCACCGGCGAACAGCACGCTGGCGTTCTACTCGGCCGTGGGGATATCACGCGAGGCCGCTGTTGCCTGGATCGTATCGGATAGCAAACTGGTTTCGTTTACAAGCCGGCATCTCGGCACCGGCCCTACCCAGCATGATACGTT